ATTATATGTCGTCTTCTCTTTTGCTGGAAGGAGCACTGTTGCGTTCCAGCTGGCATCCCATCTATCAGTCACCATACTGCTTCAGGTCCTACTTTGTACAATGCTGTCTTGATCCAGCTGTTACTGAACTCCTCCTATCACAAGTATTGCATCGTTTTTCTCGTCATAATGCCAATGTCCTTCTTCCTTCAGAGACCCTTGAGAATACCTAGTCTTCATACTCAGATGAAGTAAATCCGAGCATAGGCCCTCTTTCTCCAGCTAATGATGTTTTCTTCATTGTGCCACAATTATAATACAGTTGTGTGTTTTAAATGTGTGTTTTACAGTCATGTGTATGTTTTAAAAGAATCCATATCACATGTCTTTAATAGAGAAGAGATATTAATTTGTATTATTTGACATGTTCTCCCACCATTGCTTATTGTATTTCTGATCTGGTAAACAGCAGAGGGGAAGGACTTGTCTGTCATAGTCATTGGCTACCACAAACCTCCATGGGGCTACACTATTAATCCACTGAGTGATCCATGCTGCATGCAGTTGTTCATTACATAAACTCATGAGTAATTAAGTGAGCAGTAGGGAGTGCTACTTCTCCTCTATATTTCACTATACAGCTCTGACTTTGCCATGCCTGGCAAGGCTGGCATGCAAGCAGTGCTGATCTTCAGATCAGCTTTTCAGGAAGATAGTTCCATAAACACAATGACATCGTGTCATGACATCATTACTTTCCTGTAGGTTTGAATCAGCTTGCTTGCTTTTACAGGAAATTATATATATTCACTGCTCCTCCAGCTTGACATCAGGGAAGTGCCACACACAATTGCTTTCAGCATTTAGCTCTCAAGTGCATGAACATTCCCATAATCCATTAAGTATCCACCCAGAACAGACTTTGTCATCATAAAACTAAAGGCAGCTAAATAAACAGAAAGGTCAGTTTTAGACTATAAAAACTTGAAAAAATTACGGTATTACTTCTGGGAAAAGGGTAAACCAAAAATTACAGTACGTTGTGCTATGGGGGCTTCTGTCCTGATTGAAAACACCAGGTAACAAAATACTGGTGCCAAGAGACCAAAGTTTTAATATCTCCATCTCCCCAGGTCCTTCCTAATATTATCCATGATGTCATTGCACCCTGGACTATTCATTTTAGCATTGACTGGGAAGTCTTTGCAGAAGAAAGAATTACACTGGAAATTGTAATTACACCGTATGAGATGCGATGAGATAGATAGTGTGAACAAATGCACAAAACAAAACACGTCAGAAGGAAATCAAACGAGACATTCTGCATTGCTTATGGACTACAGGGCAGTACACAAAACCAGAGACCTTAGATCTTGAGGGCCTCAGTGAAACAAGAGTGGAAAGCAATGTATTTATGGGGCAAGTGAGGTTTCATCTAAGATTCCTCCTTTCAGATCAATTTAGATCCAACACTGTTCTACCGGTCCACCAGTAATAAATACAGAAACTATTCATGTATTTACAAGAAGTATTGAAAACCTCACTATTTGTTGGAAAGGAGGGGCAGAGGGTAAGGGGAAAGTGTCATAGTTTACAGCCATGTGTTTTCAAATAGAGGCTAATGCATGCATACCGGCACTCACTGCTACACACCAGTGCCAAAATACTGATGAACTGCAAAGTGATCTTTGCAGTGACACTTCACACAAAGCAGAGCCCTTAAAATCAGGGGCTAAAATGATATACTTTGGGCCACCAATGTTGTAAGATGGAAATAACTTCATGACTCTCCCTTCCCTCCTACCAAAGATGGCTTTGCTGAGTTCCAAGTTCAGGATTCAAACTCCTGCTTGACTCTGAACAGGCATCTTTATACACCAAGTTCAAGACACATATGTAAACTTTGCCATCTGAAGGCTTTTGTGTGCCATCTGGGAATATATTTATGGGATGTTAATTCAAAGAGATGAGTTATGCATATGAACTAACACCCTGAGTCTGATCACCAAGCTAGCTGCAGTGCTACAGTCCCATCCCAAAAACTGCAGACATCATCTATACCAGACTGTCAACAGTTCATGCACACTTTGAAAGCATCAAAATGTTTTTCCCCATTTTCCAAGAAAATACTGCCCTTAGAACACATAAACACATAGAAATACACATACATTTTTTTTTGCATAATTTCAGCAGAAACATGCTCTTCTTATTACACTCTGGTGCTATCCTTTCATTACAAGCATCTTCTTTTCCAGTAAATCTATGACCAAGTATGTGTAAATACTCATCTCAGGGGTCTACTACCCCTGTGGTGGCTGTGGCCACCCCCAGAACTTCTCACTATGTATCTGTCTGAATTGCCTCATAGTCGTGTGTATGATACATTCCCCCTTCTTTTGGCTCCCCTATCCACCTGGTTGCTTGCCAAGTATGTTGGCTGGCTATCTGTTAGCAACAGAAATGGGACTTGAGTCCTAACAAGACCCTGGTGGAAGCTGGAAGTATCCACACTGACTGCAGTGGAGTTCAGCTAGCTTCCACCACTTCAGCAAGGGCTTCCCAGCTCCATTATTGGGTCGTTGTGGACTCTGGTTGCTTTAGTCCTATGGGCTGTTGAGAGCTTTCTATTCCACTTTACTTCAGCACAGAGTAAGTTCACTCCATTGTCACTAGATAAACCCATTACAAAATGCAGCTAAGTGTATGTGCCGTGCGCTGGCACCAGCTGGTGACCCTTACGTGAGACAAGACCATGCCTTACAAGAAAGCTGAGCTCACATCTCCAAGAAGCAAAGAGAAAGGGAGAGGTTTGAACAGAGAGAGCTGTCACTACTGGTGGTTTATTTAAGGCTAGCAGTAAACTTGGGTTGTTTATTGTATCCCAGCTTTCTTTGCATGTACACAGGAAAACAGATGCTTCCCACTCCCAGGCCCCATGCTTGAGCCATGCTCCCTCAGCAAAACCCACAGGTAGGGTACACAAACGGGGCAACAGACACGTTGCTTCCTGCCTCTGGCTGCTCTGAGCTGGTGATAGGACATTATCTATCCCGCACACTTCTTTGGCCTCCCTGGCAGGGTATCAAGCCAGCTCACAGCATGCACTTTGCTTTTCCTGTGCAGTAAGAACAGCTGCAGCCTCTGCTCACAAACAGAGAGCAGAGGCCAGGGCTTGCCAGCGCTTTGGCTCTAACAGTGCACATGGGGCACGGATGACAGTGCTGGGAAGCAAGCCGGGTCTCCCAGAGCCTGAGCAGCTGGGTACCCTAACTGGTAGGTTACCTTTCATCTTCCAGCATTAAAGGCCTGGCATGGTCCATCCATAGTCTTTAGCGAGCCTCAGGTGCAGTCCTCCACTCATTCATTTATGTCAGCTGCAAATTAAGTTTCAGGCTCTTACAATGCATTAGAGAGGCAAAGGGGAAATAGAGCACAAACTCACGTGCCTGGACATATGCTTAACCACGGGGCCTCAAGATGTCAACCTATCACAGTTGTTTGCTGAAAGAGTGGGTGCTGGTCCCTGCCTGTGCCAGGACCATGATTTATTGCAGCTGTGGCCATTCTGTGGTCTGAAGGGAACCTTCTGACTTTCTGCCTGAAGAAGGTCCTTACAAGTGACATAAGTTGTTGGAGAACATTATGCACTCCCTGCTCTGCTCTCCTGTGACATTCCTTTACACAAGCAGCTGAAGAGCAAAACATATTAGTGCTCATTGCTAATTTTGTTATTTATAGTGAGCCGCCACAGATGGAGACTGCAGCACCATTCTATCTTTAGGATGTAGCGCCTGCCTGTCCATACAGACAATTGGTAATTAGCACAAGAACAATTTGTTTATCCATTCTTAAACTTAAATAAATAGGACAGCCATATATCTGTCAAAATTCAACTCCCTCCCATTGCCAGATCTCCATGTTAACTACTTAATGAATAGAGCTCATTGCTTCAGGCATTTAGGTAAAGAATTCCCGTTAAAGAAAATGAATATGCAATAACAAATAACAGGTTATGCACTGAAGGGATAGCATTAAGATCACAAGAATCAGGAGAGCAGGACAAGGTGAAGATCACAGCAATGTCAAGCAGAGGCATAGAAATGCACTAACCTGTATGCAGGTGAGGTATGTTGTATATGTTACCCTGGTTACTCCTGGCTAGTTTCTATCAGTCCAGCCAACCGGCTCTCTGCTCCAAGTAAATCCTTGTGTGAGCATGAAATAGAAGACAGAGAGGACACCTGCAGTTCTCAAAGTAAAATCCCACATGTGCACTAAGATGCAGTTGCGTGGCTTGGATGGCAGGACCCTGCCCACTGTAAACACCACACAAGCCAGGGAGAAGACATGACATTTTTTTCCCTATTCTTATTGCTGATTCCAGCCCTTCTCTGTTTTCCTTTATTCTCTATACCATCCCCTGAAGTTAGAGAAGAGAGGAAGAGGCTTTCTGAATAGATGGACTCCGTGAGTTGCACCCAAGGGTTGGCCCCTGTTCCTTCTCTCCTGGCCCCCACCACTCCTGACTGGAGGGGAATGGGAGCTGTGAAGGACTGATCACACTCACGTTAAAGGTCAAAGTAGTCTGTGTGGAAAAGTAAAAACAACAAACCCTTGTCTTTCTCACAGTTCAGATATTCTAAGCACCTGAAAATGTTCACTGACTCACGCTTGCATGTGCAGCTTCTTTTACATGCATATGGGTATACACACATCCATATGTACACTGTGGGAAAAGCACTGGGAAAAAAATAAGGTTTTAGAGGTTACTGCTGTCAGGCAGCAAAGGTAGGTGGGATCTGAGGAATTCTGCCTGGCCTCCATTTTCAATCACATGGATCCACCGATCCATGTTAGTTATTTACTTATTGAGCTACCACCTCGACCATCTTTATTTGACCATTTTATTCTCCCATCAGCATACAGGAATGGGATAAAAGCTACTAAATAAAAGTAAATTATTTCAAATACAGTGGCTGGAATGAAATAACTAATGAGAAGTTCCTTCTTTTGTCTTTCAGCTCACAACACCAAACTTCCCTGTAGTGGTCAAATTGGGACATGCTCATGCTGGAATGGGAAAGGTAAGTTATAGAAAATGCACTTATAGCTCCAGAAACAGCTATATATGTGGCACGGCATTCCTGTTATCATACATGGTGTGTGGACAGCCAGAGAAGGGGTTAAACCTCCCCGCAGCCTATCTGGGTTGCGCTGGCTGTTCCTGTGGGAGAAAAGGCCTTTTTCTGTTGTCACGCACTCAGGGACAGGCAGTGGTACTGGGTTGGAGGCTGTCTGGGATGCAGGAAGGGGGGTTGTGAAGAGTGGGGGAAAAGCTGGCTGGGCTGAAGTTGTTAGGCTCGTCTTTTATATATTTTCTTCTCTTCTGAAAGTGGCAATGCTGTTTATTCAAGCACCTGTAATGTGCAGCTACACCCCATAGCTCTCACAATGAGGAGCAGGGGTCTTTTTGAGAGCATTATGATGACCTGATTCAATAAAACGGGAGCCCTTCAGTTATTTTTTTCCTCCTTGCAAGGAAGAACAAGACCTTACAAAGCAGAATGGCTGGTTGCCTGCCAAGGAATCCTGAAAAACATTTCACTCCCCAGAAGGACCTGTTTGTTTTTCCCAGGCTCTCTGGGATCTTTATTCCCCCAGTGAACTAGCAGCCCCTGTTTCTTGGGGTGACTGTGCTCCCCTCTCAGTGAGGCATCGCCAGCACATTCCTACTGCATTTTAGCCTCCACTTTCTTGTATATACCTTGTAAAAAAGCATCCCATATCTGCCTAAAACTTGGTTTGCTCACAAGTAGGAAATTCTGATGTATCATCTCTGAATCCAAATGGGAGGTACATGAACTTTGTACCACTGTCACAATGCTTCCCTAGAGCAGACAGACCTTCTCCCAGCCTCACACTTCACCTGAAAATTATATATAGGTACACCAAACTTAAACTTAGTCTGCTCTGGAAATAGGAGCTCATTCTAGCTTCCTGTCTTGCAGTGGAATCTCTCATAATCTTTCTTGCTTTGGTGACAGTGTTCCCCTGTCTGGATGGTAGCTGCTGGAGAGGAAGCGGGCTCAGATCCCTGGGCCAGTGGTGAAGTTGACTTTCAGCATCAAAGAGCAAACATTTAAATAAGCGGGAAATGTATGTTAAAATATGGTACTGTGTGTGTTAAACAGACAGAGGTGTCATTGAATTAGAGTACATGGAGACGGCCTAGAGCTGCTTGTAAAGTGAGCCACTGAACATGTCCCTAGGAAGGATTTCATTAGCAAAATCCTAACTGGAACACCAGGAGGAAGAAACCTCTTGCTGAGGAATGGTTTCAAGTTCCTTGAGATCCTGCAGTCCTGGATCTCTCTGCTCTGCAGTTTGACCTGTAATGTGGGTAGGGTTTCATGTGTCTCTCCTGTGCATAAAGGACCCTCAGTGACTACGGAAATATGTGCAGAATCAGAGAAAAGTACCCCAATCTGAACAGTATTTCCAGACAAAACAGTCAGCAGAATATTTACCTATTGTCTTCTGCACCAGACACCAGATCTTCTTCCACCTCTCACTTTCCCTCTTACTTCATTCTTTAGTAATGTTGGGTTTTGCTGTCACAAGTTATAAGAGAAAAGCATTTCTAGTCAAACTTTGGGCATAATTGTACACAGAGGTACAAGGGGGGTATGTAGGAAGTCATTCCAGATGAAGATAGGCTGACATCCAGCATCTTAGAAGAAAGTATTCGTCTGAGAGGCCAAGTTTACATTTGTCTGTTATGAAATTAAGAACTACAAGCAAAGTCTGATGTGGATTTGGTCGCAGAGTTTCAACACTGCTCTGTTTGATAGATGAGGAAGGAATGGGAAGGAAGCTTTGTTGACCTTATGGTTTTAGTTTGGGCCCTTCTCCAGCCACAAGCAGCCTAAAGGAAAGTTGAGACTGATGAAATTAGTCTTCTTGAAGTCTCACTGCATTTCCTTGCAGAGAGCAAAAAGAGAAGGGAGAAAGTGAAAATGAAATAGATAACAAGTCTGTTGGTTTAAAAGACAAGTTACAGGAATTTGTTTCATGTTGGTTTTAAGACAATAGGGTTCAAGCCCAAGTGGAACTGACAGAAAGAAGCCATAGAAGATGTCAGGAGGAATACGCATAAGGAGAACTATGGGTATACTAGAAAAATAACATTCATAGGTAAGCAAAATCATACCTCCAATTAAGTAATTCAGAGAAGGAAAGTTTCTAGGAGACAATACGGTGGTTTTAACCATCATAATATAAAAGCAATAACCAGTGATGATAAGGAGATTACAGAGAGATAAAGAATTTCTTTGCCTTGGTCTTCAGAAGTGGAAATGATAGCAAGAAATAGAGGGTCTTTATCTGTAAAATGTAAGTAATATGAAAGAGATTTGCTTTTGGTCTAGAAGTGTATAAGAAAGTAAACGTTAATAAAGCACCTGCATCGGGTCATGTTTTCTATAGCAGTGACTGAAGAAACAAAGGATAAAATAACCAACCTATTAGCCAAAGTCCACATGTGAATATTAAAAAGAGTACTTACAGCAACAAACGATGCCAAGATAGTGAGCCCTGTATTTGTACCTGTAGCAGGTGCTTCAAAGGATGTGAGCATTCAGATTGCAGTGTCATTACCAGCAGAAATTGTTAAGGCAGTACTTACATTTTTCTTGTTATTAATGATAAAATCACATGTAATGGGAGGCACCAAAACTTTAAAAAATGAGCAGAGATGGAAAGCCCACTTTTATTCTTTATTTGTACTGAGGCAGTGGCCATGAGCCAGAAAAGCTTTGGACATAGGAAAGGCTCCTTCCCCAAAGAGATCCACCATTGACTTGCAGGGAGATTTGTATCATTTCACAGCTCTTCTCCAGTTTCTCTGTGTTACAAAGCAGAAGGATTACAATGGTTACCTTATTCTTTCGCTAATTCATGTTCCTAAGGCTCTTGGCACTATAAGAAGTACTACATGTTTATTATTTTGCAATAATGGCTGGAAAGAGTATAATTATAATGGCCAGACTTTCATTGTCACATATCATTTGTTTTCACAACGTTTTCACAGAATTCACTCACCACATTTTTTAATCAAAAGGTTGAAGAGGGAATCCTCAAAGCTAAAATAACCATGTTAGGACTTGTAATAAACAGGCTTTACTGTCTTTAGTTTGGAAGAGGAACAGTTAGTACTCAAGCTCGGAACCAAAAGGGGTGGCAGTATACCATTAGTGATAGAAATGCTCTTGCCAAGTGCATGTCAGGTGCAGGTGGAGATAAATAAAGCATATTTGCAATAAAAGGCATCTTCAGAAATCTCCATTGAGAAATCCAGAAACAACAGCCTCTCCATTGACTTGAACAGGAACACCAGGAATAGCCTTTGCCTGGACAAAGGGGCCCCAGACAGTCTCATCTCAAAACACGACATATGCCCCTCAGCCTCACCCATGACCATCATTATATCTCTTTTCAAATTTGGAGCTACTTCATATTTTGCTGGCACTGGAAAATCATAATATGTGTTCTCTGCTGGTTCAGAACACTATCAATACAAATAAGGTATCTGTAGAAATTCTGCTTAGACAATGATTTACAATGGAGTCAGGAGAGATCTTTCGCATGTTGTATTTAAGTTGCCTGGGCTCATGGGGTCAATAGTAGTCAAGGACTTTTCCAGGGAAACTGTGGATGGACACAGAGAGGAGATGCCCTTCACTGTGCAGAGCTATTGTTCACACAACAGCTCCTAATTGGTCAAGACACTTTTAAGCATTGTGCATTTTGAGCCCATCTACCGCAGAAGTGATTGGGCATCTCTGCTGAATAGGGTGAGCACTACAGTGAGAACGGACTAACACTTGTTCCTGACTCCGGATCCCATAATGCCAGAGCCCATGGAAAAGAATAAAGCTCTGAGTGTGTTGATATCTGCCATTTGTGTGCTAACATGACCCTAAAGTGCCCTAGGAACAGAGCCCAGCACTGCAAATTCACTCAAAGAGCCTCTTCACCTCTTCCTGATCAGATCATGAGAAGGAAACAACTGCCAGATCTGCAAAGAGGAAAAACAGTATCTGTTTATGTGGCATTATAGCTATTTATATTAATTTAATAAATATATATATATTGCTTCTCTTACTTTATTTTTAGACCTCTCTTAATTTGGCCAGTTTAAGAGTCACCTCCTGTCCCCGCCTGCCCCATAATTATGAAAACACCTCCCCAGTACAAATCCTGGCTCAGATGAATTCATTACGTTGTAGAAGAAAAACTTGTTGTTCATAATAACGTGGTCAGAGTTATTTTCTCTCTTACTGGATGGGAAAGACTTCTCTACTTTTTTCTTTTTCTTTTTTCTTTTTTTTTTTCCCCTGGTATAAATATAGCACAAACTAAACAGAGCCACACTGTAACGTAAAAATACTGCAAGCTTTTTATCAGGAAGGACAGCTCGTCACCTTGTCTCTCTCGGGACTGGAAATAGAATGTTCCAAAAGTGAGAGCTTTGAAAATCCAATGTGCTAAAGAGGAAAGGAAGGGGAAAGGGCTACCTCAGTTTGTCAAGGAACAAATATTTTCTTTTACAGAGGACAAATAATGACTTGACATGTAACATTCACAGCAGAGCAGCCCAATCACTGCGTTCCCACTGACTCATGAGCAAGGAGGTACCACCCGTCTCGAAAATAGCATCCCCATTTCTTGCACCTCAGTCTGGAAGCATTTTCTGGACACAGAAAATGGTGACTGATCCAGGGCACTGGGGACCAAAGCTGCCAAGGTCTGGGGCTGAGAAGCTCTTCCTTAGGAAGTTAGTAGGGATTATAAGGTTCAATGCATTAAAGGCAGCATAACATATAGAGAACTTCATCATGAGGATAGTAAGGAAATGCAGACTCTGTTGTGCCTCTATCATTTTGAGGTGAGTCAAAGTCAATCCTAAACTCTGTGTGTGTTGGTTGGATCAGGTATTTTCTGAGAACAGGAGCAGTAAAAGGCAGAATGAAGGAAAGACTCAAGAACCCCTCTCTGCAGAGCCATGCCTGCAGAGCCATACCTGTTGTCCTAGAATGGTAAAGTAGCTACAGAAAGGTTAAGTGCAGGTTGAGATGGACAAAAAAATCACAAATTTTACTTGGCCATGCCGGTTACTCTGGAGGAAAGTACTCAGACTGTGCCTTTTCACAAGCCTACCAAGACTCAGTCAAACATCACGTTGCCAAGCCAGGCCTTGGCTCAGCCTTGGACGCTTGCCTTCCAGCTGAACCTGCCTCTAACCCCAGTTTGGATGCAGAAACTGCTTCTGCAAGCCATCTCCAAAGTGATGTGGGTTTAACCTGAAAGGCAAAGTTACCTCTGGATGACACTCAGAAAGGCAAGGCTAGGGCTTCCCTAGCAGACTACTATAATTATGCCACTTTGGCTGACTGACTGTTCTTTCATGTGGCCACTTAACTAATGAAAGCAAAAGGGGACTGTAAGTAATACAGTACTTAGGCTAAAGATGAGAGTGCCGTAGCCCTGGCACCCTGGTGTCCAGGAATATCTAGGATATCCTAGAGACAGGAGATTCAGGAACTACAAGACAAGAAGCAGAAATTTCTACCCAGGAACCTGCACTCACATAGACCCCAGGAGTGGCTCAGACTACACAGGAAATATCCATGGTGGGTTATTAACAATGCCAGGACCCACTCTCCAAAATCATGTCTTGCAGGAAGACCTCAAAAGAGGGTCCATAGTAGAGAGGTGTTTCTGATCAGTCCCTCAGACTGCCAGGGGCAGGAATATCAGTGCTTCTTGGGCAGGCTGAGGATAGAAATGGGTACCAGTTCCAGATCACGTAGCAGACCACTAACATCAGCCTCTGAGATGCCACAACAGGGCAAAAGCATGGTCACATCTGCATGCGCATGTCTCCAGGGATCCAGCTGGACTCCCCTCTCTAATGCAGCAATAGGGAGCATGCTAAGGCACAGCCAGTGCCTGGGTTAGAGAAGAGAGCCAGAAGGGAAGCAGAGACTATCCCAGGGAGCTTTATTACTTAGAAAAGGCATTTGTCAACACACTGGCCCAAACTCTCCACAACGGGTCACTAAAACGCTACTGCAAACAGCAGCTGATGGCTCCAGAATGAGGCTATTGCTGCTCAAACAGCCAGCACAGCTAAGCAAACAGGCCACCAGGGCAGGGGCTGTGTTTGCACTCACTGTTTGCACTCTTCTATGCAGCTAATGGGGTATTGCATTTATCCTAAGAAGGTTACAAAAAAGAGAGAGGAAAAAAAATGGCTTCCTGTTGATCTCTTTCCAACTTCTTTCCTCAGTTTCATGCAGTGGCTAACCTGCCATTTCAGAAGACAGATTTATCCCTTATTAGGTGAATTGGTAACTGTTTGCTTTTGAATTATTTTTAATAGTCCCTTCTTAAATAATGCCCTCTGGTGTCACGCTACATCCACCCTGGCTTTGGTTATCTCTAGAGATTTTTCTCCTGTTAGGAGAATGGATATTTTATTGACATGTAAAAGGGCTACAAAGCAGGAGGAAATGAATTATACAAAATTCAAAAGCAGAAAGCTAATAAAACGGTGGACTTGCTAGATAAGGCAGGAAAATAAATCTAATTTGACTGTAACTCAAGTGCTTCCTGTTAATGAAGTAATAACCATACCCTGGACTAAATCAGTGTTAACCCAGGGCATGGCTGTTATTTTGTCAAATTTGGCCAACTCTAACAATTAACAAATAGTGGATCAGATTTCAGCTTTGGTGTGGTGATTATTTTGGTACCTGGTGGGAAATAAGGCCATGATCTCCTTAAAGAGGACCTCTGTGAGGTGCTTTCTCTGAAAAGTCCATGGGAAGGGCTCTGGTACAGGCCAGAGATAGATGGCAGAGGACTGAGGACTGTGCAGTGGTGTAGCACTGTGGGAGTCATCTTCTTTTTCATTTCTTACTTGTGTCCCTGGTGAGTCCCCCTCTCTTTATTTATCCAGCCAAAAATCCTCAGGCCCATTGGAGAAAGCATGTTCAAGTGCTTTCCCTCTCTCCCCATAGGGAGAGGGTGATGGGGAGGAGGAAGAAACGGACCCTTCCTTTCCATAGCATGCTGTATTTAAATAAATTTAAATAAATTTAAATAAATCATTAAGATGATCTTACAGCTAGCAATAACAACACGATCTAATTCCAATCTGGAGAGGGAAGCAGCATCCTTTCCTCTGCCTCTGGGATAAATGTTCCTGGGCTGGCGATGCACATGTTTCATCCGGGGCCCAAAGACATCTGCTGCACAAGCACAGCACTTTGTTTCAGACCCCAAGAATGTCCTTATTCCAAGAAGGTCATTATATAATGGCTTTTGTCTTTCCCATTGCCAAAAGGGTCTGGTAGAATATGTTGTAACACCATGCATCGCCTGCCCGTGCAGTCCCTCCTGTGATCATCTCATCAGGGTGGGCTCTCTTCGCTTGATCTCACTCAGACCAGCGCAGCTCTTATCTATGCAACAAAAATACCCAAAATACCCAGCCCCTACACAGCCTGCATTGCTCTCCCTGGGGTTTTGCAAGCTGCGCCCAGGTTGAGGGCTCCCTCCATATGAGGTGCTCCCCTCTCCTCCTCCTCCTGCTGCCTCCAGGGCGTTCCTACCACCTCACCCTGCCCTGCCGCACCAGCGCTGCACACAGCCCCAGGCAGACATAGAGGGGTACAACACAGCCCAGGGCAAGGCTGCTCCTCCTGGATGACGTGCAATGGTTGCTTTTACATTTCCCCTTTGTGTGTGTTATTTCCCTTTTTTTTTAATACCCTCCCACCCCCACAGACGACTGCCTTCTTCCTCTGATGCTTTTCTCAGTGGTCCCTGAATAGTGAAAGTACAGTTCTCACCGCAGCAGAAGGGAGGAGGACTAGTGGTATTTGGCATTCAACAAAAGGAGAAGTAAAGACCAGGTCTTTTTTCCTTCTTCTTCAGGCATCTAGATGGTCACAGGTCAAACTAGTTGCACTTTTCACCTTCCCCACAACCTGTCCGGTTCTCAAGAGATTTTCTGCACCAGGATGTGGCTGCATCTTTGGCTTATGTTACAGCTGGCACTTGCACAAAACCATCTAAATAGAATAAAACAGGTTAGCAACAAGCTTGTCCTCTGTTCTCTAATGAAGATGGCTCCTGCCCTCTCATGGTTGAAGGCAGATATGTAAAACCACTTTGTTTGTTCTTTTCAAGGAAACACCAAATACCACTGAACACATTTCCTTCAGCTGGCTCCACATAGTCTGGCATCACCCTCCTTTAACACACAAACTGACACAACTAGAAAACTCTTCTGTGGCAGAGACTGACAGGTTGTCATGAGCAAGTAGACACTTTGCAATCCCCAACCGTGGCCTCCAAGTGTTACTGAACTACAAAGTGTAAAAGAAAACCACTCACTTGCTCATCGTTTTCACACAGTGTTGGTCTTTTTTCACCAATTAACCCACCCTTCCCACATCCGTCCAGCTCTAAGGAGCAAGACTCACACGTGTTTCTCAGATGCACCAAACATGTTTTTGCCAACAGACTAAAGGCCAGGGCTGATGGTGTGAATGACATAAAACTGTCCACTATGTCCTTGTTACCTGATGTGCAGTTTTTCTCTCCCAAATTAATGAGCTTTTGTGGAGATCTGATCATATTGTTCGAGCTCCCACTCACTGTTTTAGTCCTTCCTTAGTTTGTTTGGTTTTGGGATAAGATATAGAGCATTTCTCATAGCTGAATACAAAACTGTGAAAAGCCAGCTTCTCAGAAAAACTCCAGCTCATAGGCCACTGCCCTTTCATTTCCAAGTGCAACTCAAGTCTAACACCCAGCCGGTTGTCCCACGCATATGCCTGTGGCATTGCACTCACACAAATCTCCCCAAGAATCACAGGCTCCCTCAGTGACACCCTTTTCCTGCAGAGCTTGCTTCCAGCTGGGACACCTGCACAGCTCCTCAAAGAAAGTCTGGAGCGGGGGTAATTTGAAATGCCAGGGAACTAAAGCCTAGAGGTGGCAGACAACCAGCTCTCTTGTTTATTTCCCGCTATTGGTTTATATTTCCTGACCACCCAAAATACTCTGTTTCATCCATCCCAACATAGGAAATCGCAGTTCCAGTGTCTGAATGAAGTAATGCTCCTGAAGAGATCAAGTATTTTTCTGAAGTATTATAAAAGCAATGAGCATTAGCAAGAGCCATCTGCCTCTTTGGTGCCAGGTTTACCAGACTTGTGCATAAGGAAGGAGAAAGGGGTGGATTTGCTCTGGGTTGGGTTGGTCTGGGGAGCTTCTGTCTTTAAATCACACAATCAATCCCTGCTCTGTCCTCAGCTCCAGCTGTGTGGGTTTTAACTGACATGGTGCTGCTGTTCAGGCACAGAGATGACTTCTGCTCACAAAGTATTCCTGTTCTTTTTGCTCTTTGTCACTTTTCCCTGTATTTTGACGATCAAGGTCAAAGTTGAGAACCAGCATGACTTCCGGGACATGGCCAGCATAGTAGCCATGGCAAAAACCTACGCCACCACTGAGCCGTTCATTGACTCCAAGTATGACATCCGAATCCAGAAAATCGGCAGCAACTACAAGGCTTACATGTGAGTGTACGGCTATGCCAGAGAGAAAGCGGAGACAGTGCTGTGGATGTGACTGAGTCGATGTCTGCTCTGGGCAGGAGTAGGAAGTTGATTAATTTCCTTGAAGAACAGCCCTTCTGTTCTCCTCCCACCTCTGAACCCAGATCCCTCATCCACCAACCATCTTCTCCATTACTCACCGTCAGCTCACTATGTCTGGAATGCAAATCTCGCTACCTGTTTCTGAGATTCAGTTAGTTCTCATTATAACAACTATGCTCTGCCATCACCTGTGACCTCTCCCTCCTGCTGTCAAAGGGCTCATCTTTCCCAGCAAAATCCTCCCCGTACCCTCTAGTGGGAACCAAACTCACTCCCTTCCGCACATGGGGGAAAACAATAAAGCAGATTGAGCCAGCTGCAACTCACGGAGTCCTACAGTGTCCAACCCATAGCAACAGCCCATCCTCCCCCAGCTGGAGATGATGGCACTGCATTCGCATGAAGAGCACACAAATGGCCAGGTACAAATGGCCTCAGCCTGGCCAGCTTGCAGGGTTCCTCTGGGCTTTTTGCATCTGTGTTCCTTGAAGCATACAAAGAAAGGAAAGGAGAAGGAGGGACATACCCTGCCTTTTGGGATGTGAGGGAGGTGGCATGAAGGCAACCAACAGCACTAATATGTTTTAAAATATTAAAAAGCATGCAGCCAAACTTCAGTAGTCCTCAAGCTCAGTTAAAGATGAAACCACAAGAGTCAGTAAGACACCTGTTTCTCCTTACTGCAAACCAGTAGATGAGAAAAGCCAAATAGCACAGCTTCTCCAGAAGCTCCTTATCCAGCCACAAAATTCTGGACAAGTAGACAGCTCCAGCAGTACATTCTTCAGGTCGCCAGACAAATTTCATATGTTACCTAACACCCATAACACTGTGAGTTTTCAGTCCATGTTTACAAACCCCTAGGCCACAATTCTGGTGAAACATAGTTAAATGAGACAATCAGATGTACATAATCACGTATTTTTCAGCTATAGCTGCCTAAGATTCCCAGTTGGATTCCTAGCACAGAGGTATTTAAGTAACTAGATAATGACTGAGTCACATTCTTTATGGGAAGGACTTGTGGGACACTTGGCTACTTCATGAGAACTCAGTGAAAGAAAATTTAAGTCTTATCAGGTCAACAATAGCACAGTTGCCTAATATTACATTAACATCTCAGGGAGTCTGGCGCAAATCGGCCAAAGGAAGGAAGGTTTAAAATATCAATTAAAATTCCCTATTCCTGCCAACCTACCCAGCCTTGGCTCCAAAGCCTGCTCCCAGCCTGCCTCTAAGTGAAACAAAGGTCCAGTTAGCCTTACCATGTCCTCTCCTTGTTTATTATTCACACTCACCACGCACTCATGCAGAAAGGGATCAGAAATAATACCAGATGATTGAGGAAAGAAAGCGGTCACACCAACAGCTAATCCCACTCGGGAATATAACTGCGCAAACAGTTGTTTTCTAAACGAAAAATGCTTTCACATGAAAACAGCCATGAACTGGAAACACCTTAATGAGAAATGAAGCTTATTGGCAAAGAAAGCAAATGGCAAAATTCCAGCAACTTGCTAACCAACAAGGTTGATTTATATTGGGAGCCATTTACGGACGTGAGCTTGGGAGAGCCATACAGTCAGTCCCATTGGGAGCTGTTCCGTCTGTCCCAGCATCAGACAGAATAGAAAGTTATTTCTATGGTATAAATAAGTCCCTACTATATCTAAAGACAGAGGTTAAAGCACCCAAAATATCAGAGTTCTCACTGGTCTCTCAAATAGAAGACTCAAAGTCATTAGTCATGCTAGCAAATCTCAGCCTTAAAGGCAATTACAGCATCTGCAGTAGCGTCATACTGAGTGAATTGCTTTGATCTGTGAGCCATGGAATCTACCCAATATTTTTATACCTTCACCCACACATATAGACTTTAAAATCCCCCTTCCTTCTGAGAAAAGACTGTACTGAAATTCTCCAGAATATGTTTACTTTGCACCAATCATCTGCCAGAGGGAGGATGCTGCAGGGTGACTCATGCATTCCTCCCCACCCCAGATGTTCAATGCACTTCCTTCCAGCCCATGACCCAAGGCTTGAGTTCAGTTTCCCATTGATTTCAGTTCAGTGACTCCAGATTTACACTACTAACAAACACCTACTTAGCCCATGCCTTGGGCCAGTCTCAAAACAGCAGATAAGCAGCATGTGATACATGCCTAAAATTCCACCAGAAGTCTTTGACTGTCATTGTAATACCGGCAAAGAGAAAACACAAATACTTCTCATGTGGCTAGGAAAACTGGGGCAGAAATTATGCTTCTACCCTTACCCTAACTGGGGGCAAACAGGGGTATTATTTCCACTTAAGACTCATTAAATGTTCGCTTTGAATTAAGCCAGCAGCTGTGTTGACTTTTAGGGTGAGATATTCCTTGCCACCAGCTCTTAGTAAGAGGGTAATATCCTTTCCTTTCCAGTTTCATAAGTGTGACGTCTGATCTTGTCACCTCAAAGGCAGTTCAATGTGTTCTGCAGGGGATACAACATCAACTGTATTTAAACCAGTGCTACTTTTAGACTGATATGGCCCAGCTTGGAGATGGTGAATATAATACACCAACAGCCTGTGATCTCCTAGTCTATTCATTTACCCTAAGCAATACTGCAGGTGTCTTGGTCACAGATCTGCTTGATCCCTAAAAGTCTGCTTACATTTGGTATGCCACGTACCTCTTCTAAACACTGATATACAATCATCTTGTCACTAAGCAGACTCCAGGAGTTCTTACCAGCATTAATGGAATTCTGGATGCCATCTGCCACTGTGGGGCAATTTTCTGAACCTAAATCTTAATAAAGAGTGGTTCTTCCCATTGCAGAACTGAAAAATGCAATCCTAAGAATCCCATGTCAAAAGAGAGGCTGAGGGTTGAACACTGACCTTACAGGCCACCAAAGGGCTTGTAACAGTCAAAGCTTGAGGAGAAATACATTCTTTTGCTTAGAAAGTAGGGCAGGAAAATGGATGTTGGGTGAAAAGAGCGACGGACAAGAGTCAACTACATGGAAACACAGTTATTCAACACAGTAACCATGATCATTTGCCTCCCTCCCCCCCCCCCCCCCTTAAATATGGTTACAAAGACCATTTAAATCTCACAGCAAATATGCATACCACTTGAGAGGAGACATGAAAAAAGACTCTGGACTTTCCCTCACCACAGTAAAAGGGAATCTTAGGCAGTCAACTATAATGATCCAGGTTTATAGTCTAGCAGGACATCAGTATTACCAGTGCTTCACATACATTTGCAAGTTCACAGTCTCTTTTCTACATCAGGTAAGAGAACTGGCAGTGAGGGTTTCCACAACCTTATGTTGAAGTGTTGGATCACACCTCCTTTGCCCTGCATAAACCTCTACCTAAATTTTCTTCAGCTTGGAGATGCTCCCTGGAGCATCCTGTCAGCTTGTTGACTTGTCCTAGCTTGTACACTATGCCAGGGTTATCTGCACAGTGTTATCTCAGCAGGCTGGCCAAGGTTTGCCTTGTGCCTCAGGTCGAGAAAAAGAAAGTGTTCACCCCTTGATGGATGATGCTGAAACCCAGGATTTGTCAGCAACAGTACCTTGTTTTCTGGAAATTAACCACCAGCAGCAGCTGATGAGACTCCAAGTCCAGACACAGTGAGCCATGGACAGGTCAACACAAAGTCAGTGACAAGAAAGTATAATCGTATATTCTATGACACCAGTACAGTTGAAATCAAAGTAAGGGAGACCCAGAATGTCAGAGCTGACATTTGTGAAGCTGCTCAGGCAGATGTTTGCCTGGAGAATTGCTCTTCCATGGATGGATGATGCTACCCACTGCAGAACACACGGGTGATTATCCAAGCAATCTACAGACATTTCAGCTCTGATGTACAAAGAAAGTAGTCACAGAGCTGATGTGTGCTCAAGATTCCTTGGAGTTTTCCCTGTCTAACTCCTCGTTCAGTTTTTTATTAGCCTGAAAAACATATCCTGTATGGAGTGTTGTTGAGGCAAGATTTATGAATGCTTCTGTGAGGAAGAACCTCACCTCATCCCCTCTTGTACAAGCATTGAGTCAAGGGTGAGGAGGACTACAGTACAAGGGAGGATGGGGCAGGAGTGTATTTTCATGTTTGGATTATGTTTTTGGTTTGTTTTCCTAGGAGGACATCCATCTCTGGAAACTGGAAAGCAAACACAGGGTCTGCAATGCTAGAACAGATTGCAATGACAGAGAGGTAAGGAAGAGGGTTTCAAGACAGTGCTAGCTATTCTTGGGTTAAAAGGGAGGAATTGTATTTTAGACTCTGGTTAATTGAGAGAACTGGTAAGTGAGGTCTCCTGGGAGGTGGGATAAAGGAGTTTAAAAGACCAAGTGTTTCCTTACAAAAATACTAAGGGCACAAAAGCAAACTGTCCTATTTTGGAGAACGGACTGGAAGTACAGCTAGAGACCGACATCGCTAAACCATTAGAACTTTAGTGAATGTAGCCACAGGAAACAAGACCAGCATGCTAAGGTCAAGCACACCAGCAAAAACATGTAGGGATAAAATCAGAAAGGTCACAGCACAAAACAAGAAGTAACAAAAGTTATTCTAAGTTCATTACTAATGAGAGACAAACACAGAAAAGTGTTCTTCTGCTCAACAGAGGGAAAAATCTGTCAGCTGAAGTGTTGAAAGCTTTAGTCTCCCAGAAGTGGACTCTCTTTTTCCTAAGGTCTTCTCACTGCTGAACAGAGCAGAAGGAATTGTCTCATGCATCTTACACTGAAATTTGCAGATGGGAATTCCATATATTCACATCACTGTGATATTTGCTAATATTGCAACTGCATGACATTGTTGACCCATGGTAACTCATGCCTTGCTGTAACTCCCAAGCCCTGTTCTGCAGAAGTGCTATCATGTCACTTGTTCTCCGTACTATTTAAGTAATTATTTATAGATTTATAGAATCCATGGATTATGTGTAGGCACTCATCCCTTGTGAATCTAAGATTTTTTTAGATTATACCTCCAGTTTATCAGGATCATGATTCATTATGCTGCTAATAATAGGTATTACTCACTCTTTATATTACTCTTACAACACTATAAGAGTTAATGGACTTAAATTACAACAGAAGAGGTTCTTCTGAACATTTCCCATATTTCCTAATAATAAGGATGGCATAGCACAGAAATGGATTGCCTAGATGAGATGGGGAATATCTGTACTCTTTCAGACCAAGTTAAAGAAGTATCTCCTGTTTGGGCTACAAGAGCTGTGCAGGTGCTTACCTAAAGTCTCTTCTGTACCTTTAGTTCTGTGAAACAGGGAAGCTAAACCCTAAATCAGATGCTGAAAGTCACTCTGCAAGACCTTAATAGGACTGTGGGATCTGGACATTATTGTGCGTCCTGGTTGTTTATAATACAGCTGAAGCTGAAGAGACGAAGGGTAGGCATTCCCTCATTGCAGTGTTGTAGGACTATAATCCAGATTCCTGTCAACCTGCTAGACTGCATTTTGAAGGTTCATTGTGTAGATGTAGCACCACAATTCACCACTCTAGCCTTACACAGACATAACTGCAACAAATTCCATTGAAATCTCTGAGTCATCGCTGCATGCAGCAAGGCAAGAGTGTGCTGAAGTGCTCTGATGAGTAGGAGCAAACTGAAGTACTGCTCTGTACTGAAGTGTACTGAACAGTAGCCCAAAGGATAGACAGGTTCAGGTAAAACTAGGCAAAATGTCAGTAAATCCTCTGCAAATGCTACCCCAATGCATATGCATAAATATGCTTTTCTGTTCCATAGCACTGTTATTACACCCAGCAGCCCTGATGCCTCCCAGTGCTTACCTAGGGGCAGCAACATTGAAGACATGTGGCTATCAGGGTCTCTGGCACAGGCAACAATTCCCTAAGCCTGGCTGCTGAGACATCCTCTGGGAAGAGAGGTGGTTCCCACGATTGTGCCCTTGGTTGTGGAGCCACAGCAGTGCCCGAGTGGGGCTCACTGTGCCTCCCGCCAGGCTCAAGGGGTCCATAGTTCTCCTCCTCCTTATCCTACTGACTCTTCCTCAGGTGCTGTCTTCTTCACAGGGGCTGGGGTGGACATGTTCCTCATTAGGGATAAGAGAGCACCGGTAGTATGGTTTTGCTGCTTCCCTCAGACACTGTGTTCACACAAGGTGATCACTATGTTGTCGAGCTATGGGGACTCTGGCTGGCTTCAAGGATATAAACTTGTTTGTAAGCTCATTTCCCGGTCCCTGTAGGGGTCTGCAAAATGTCAGTGTTTTCATGAGACTGTGGCCTTCCCTCCCCTCTCCACATCTTGTCATGGTCCTGCTCACAGATCTGCCGTTCTGAGATTATTGTTTGTATTGAAATGGTCAGAACTGCGGCACAGCTGCACAGGAAATAAAACCAGGCCAACATGTTCTCTCCTCATTTCCACAGCAGGGGGATGCAGTCCCCCCATAATACGCCCCTTGTCATGCTCTCTCCTCCTCTGACACCAGGAGAGCTAAGGGGGCACCACATTCCCATCCTGGGACAGAGGAGACAAGGGCTGCAGCCTGTAGCTGTCCCTCTAACAGAACAGTGCTTGGTCCATGTGGTGGGACTGCCTGGCTAGGAGCAATGCCAGGCGATGGAAAGGAGGCAGGAGACTGTAAAAGAACGAAATTGAAAGAGTAAGTTGTAATACGTAGGAGCTGCTGGGTTACAGATCGGGGGGGAATGGCTACTCCTTGCTAAATGCTGTACTCACTTTCTGATCCTATTCCAGCCCCAATGTGCAGGACATCTTATCAGGAGAAAGCTGCCTGCATAATGGAGGACTTTCAGGCAAAGCCAATACAAACGCTAAGGGGCCAACACTACCAGGAGATTAAATGAGCTAAATATTTATAGCTTGGCTAAATGACAACCAACTGGAGATCTGATGTAAACAGCAAGGAGGGAAAGAATATTTTAAGGTGGCTTTGAGGGCTGGATTGAAACAATCTGAAATGAACGAAACCTTCAGGCAAGATTCTTGGGTTTTTTTCTCCATCCCATGTGCAAGAGGGGGAGGCAATGACCCAGCAAAGCGTATGAAAGTATGCCTTGTGACAAAAAGGGCTCCTGAATCTCCTTGTGCTCCTAGGGGCAGCGGGATGGGTGGCTGTATGTGATGGACTACCCGATGGCAGCTAAACTGTGCTTCTGTGGTTTCTGCAGGTACAGACTCTGGGCAGACGCCTGTGCAGAAATGTTTGGAGGTCTTGACATCTGTGCTGTCAAAGCCGTCCACAGCAAAGATGGAAAAGACTATATCATTGAGGTGAGAGCATGGGGACCCTGAATGCAAGCCTCCTTTGGGAAGGGTACCTGCAAACATGCTCCCTCAGAATCCGCACGCACCTTACTCCTGTGTGCATGGTTCAACAGATCTTGCTCCTCCATGCCCACCTGTATCCTCCAAGCTGTGGCCCACCGATATGCAAGAAACTGATTTAGAGACCCAACTAAACTGGCAGATAAGCAACAAGGTGTCAGAGTTGAAGTGCCTTCATTTTTCAATGTGGACTTTGAAAGTAAATGGAGAGCCACAGAGTGCTTAGCCACCACAGCTCTCCAGCTGATCAATCCCCACAACCTTACAAGCATGGGCCAGATGTGAAATTTACCTTCTTACAAAACTGCAAGTGTTGCTGATGGCATCCAAAGTTTTGTGTGTCTCAGCGCACCAGTGCCCCAGTCCCATCCTTCCTAGGCTAGGTGCTTGCAAATCCAGTGCATCTCCTATAGTTGCTAACAATAGGGACCAACAGCATCATGAATAGACATGCTCATATCCAGCCAAACCTGAATTCAGGTGCCAGGTGATGCTAGTGCATTAGTCATGTTAACCTTCCCTCATTACCCAAGGGCCAGCAGGTGAATAGGTCCAATGAAAATCTCATTTCTCTCTGAATGAACCAGTCATTCTCATTTCACTTTAAAGAGAACCTCAGTAACAGCAACTCTAGCTGTATCTAATTCAAAAGAGTAAAATAAATGGTGAGAGTGTAGCAAAAAGGTCCATAAGCAGCAGGAAAAAATTAATTTAAAAAAAAAAGATGGATTTTCTAAAATCTGCCCTGACAGTATTCACTTCAATGGACCAGCAGGACAAAGCACCACAGGGTTACTCTGGGCAGTGTGGGCTACGAACTTTTGTGTTCAGAGCTGAGCAGACTGTGGCTCTGAGAGCTAAAATTCAATGTGCTCCTTGCCAGGCCAGGGGGCAGATGTGGGAGTGGGGTAAATAGGGTCATCCTAACAGGGCAAAGACGGGAAAGCTGGCCAGAAAATCAAAGGGGAACTTAAGAGACTGGCTGGGGGAGAGAAAATCTGGCAAGTAAGCAAGAGCCTCTGTCACTATGTGACTCAAGGAGGCACAGCATCTGACCTGCTGTAAACTCCACCAACACAGGCCAGCTGAGGAAGATGAGCAGAGGCAGCCTATGGCTTCATGCAGGGGTGCTGACACACTGGAAAGCTATGTGTGGGAGGGCAGTCCCACCCGCTGAGGGTTGGGATGCTGATGAGAACCACATGAGCCCTCCAGCGACTGCGCATTCCTGCATTATGTATCTGCTCTCCAGGGAGCAGTGACCTGTCAGAGGCCATATGATATAAGTGTGCTGCCAGCAACCAAACACTCCATCTTTCCTGAAGTGATGGGGCTGTGGCTGATGGCTTTGCTCCTGTATGCAACTCCTCAGCACCTAAGGGAGCATCCCCCAGAGCACTCTGTCTCCCTGCCGTGCACTTTTATATCCCCATGCACATGTAGCTGAGAAAGGAAGAGGAAGAAAGCAGTCTTGCTAGAGATAACTGTAAGGACTGTGTCCATACATGGTCAGACGTGAGATGTGGTTTTCATATCCCTGCACCTATTCTTGCACATAAGCCTACTTACGTGCACACATGGCTAATTCTGCACTCAAGGATTATATGCCTCTGTCTGGGTATACCTCTGGGTTTTCACATCTGCCCCCATATGTGACTGACTGGATGGAAAGCACATCCATATGCTAACAGCCATCATCAGCCTGCACACAGAGAGAAAAGCACGCTAATACTCCTCTCCCCAAGGACAAGGTAAAAAGCAATGGATATAATACAACAGAAATCAGAAGAAACACAACAGCTACAGATGGGTCATCCCTGTAGATTTGATTGAGCAGGCCTGATGCACCAACATCTAGCACACATTCAGATGCCAGGCTGATGGACATTGTTGGGAAAGGAGTAGAATAGTGCAATACAAAGAGCAGAACAAAGCCAAATGGGTACCTTTTCTACTTCATGCATATCTGAGGGAGATGCTGACAAGTAATTAATTGCCTCCAGCCTACTTCCTGGGGTACTTTTCTTGGTTTGAAACTGATCCTTTATTTTGCTTTCTTCTATTGCTCATTGGAGAAAGAAGTTGTTTGACAGTGCGACAGTTGTATTTTTCTTGCTGAGAAGGAGCAGCGTGCTGTGACATTTTACAAGAAAGCACGCCTAAATGGGCTGAACAAATAAGGAATTTGCACAATGCAATTGCAGGCAGTAATTAATTTTCACAGTCCAGAGCAGTTCTCCAGGAAAGATTTGCAGAGAGAGTGATGGGCATTTCTAAGAACTGAGATTTACCAACAGTGGTTTGTTGCAAACAGAATCAGATTAAGACACATGAGCAGCACAAGTGTAATCTTGCACCCGTGGTATTTGCTGGTACTTGAACTTCACCTTCTTTTCCCATGGCAAACAGCAGAACCCAGTACATTTCTGCCCTTCCAAGCACTAGCACACTTACAAACCATTTTCATGGCTCATATTGAAAACTTTGTCAAAATCCACTGATTTCTTCAAAGTTTCATTCTAATTAAAACAGCTGTGAATTTAATGGTTAATGCTGGCACTTCTTTTACTCCTGTTTTAAAGAACTTTAAGGGAATATTCACCATGAATAGTCAACACTGGATCAGAAGGCCAGATCCCCGAAACAGCGCAAGTTTACTACCACTGGTAGTAGCCAAATTCTCAAAAGAGCTCAGCATCTTGTACAGTTTAATAATCTTCCCACCTCCCTTTTCTTGGGGGGGAAGGCGTAATCTAGCCGTTTTCCACATCTCTGCTATGCTGACAAATATGGAACGAGTACAGAGGGCAAATAATATCATCCATGTAATTCATTCTTCCTCCCAGATCAGCTAAGCCCTACCTGCCATACAGCTAAGCTGTATTACTAAACATGCTCCTTGCTGCCCTGCAAGAAGCCCTGCCCATCCCTTCAGCACTGCCCTTTCAGTTCTTTTGATATGTCTAATCATCTGTTTCCTTCCTTCCTTCCCTAAAAATCACCTAACACTCTGCTCTTGCACTCCAGAGCCTGGAATAACAAGTCCAGCCTTCAGGCCTCTGTCAGATAGGACTAGGATGGGGTTTTCCTGAGTCTCTCCTCCACCAGGCTGCTTTCTGCTCCCCCCTTGTATACCTCATCAGGCAACAGCAGCTGCATCAGGAGCAGGCACTGACCTTGGGTGGCTACAAAGGCCGGGTCCATATGTGCCAACATCTTCTTGTCTTGCCCAGCTATCCTGTGATCTCCCTAGAATGAGACAAGCGCAATCTGTCTGTGATTCACATATTCCTCTCAGCCATTTGATTTATTTCAGCATTGGCATTTGCATCTGCCTAGTTCCAGAGAAATTCCCCTTTCCTGGAGAACAGACAAGGTGACGTCTCTTGATCCTTTTCAGTTCAGTGGCAACCAGCTGCGTAATTTTGCCCAGAGAAATCACTGCCATTTTCAAAGACCTTCCCCTACACTGTTGTTCATTCCCATATTTGCAATCTTCCACCACTTGTGTTCCCCTGCCAGACACTACACAGCAGGACAGCAGATACTCTCACTGCTCATGCACCTTCACTGGTTCAGGTGGGACCCTCACCAGGGTTCATTTCCTTTGTTTTACCAAATAGCATCTTCCCCTTCCTCTCCAGCCACTGCTGCCACAGAACTAGAGAAAAGAAAGTCCTTAAGATGGGGAAATGAGGGTCTTGGAGCGTTTTGACCAGAGCTTTATGTCAGTTACTCAACAGGAAGGGCTAGGGAGCCAGGAGCTAGGCTTAGTTGGCCAACCTGTTCGTAATGGCAGAGTAATGGCATCATCTAGTGGTCACACAGGTCCCTCGCACGGTGCATTGCAGAGAGCTGGGAGACCTCTTGTCACCGTGAACTGGAATTGCCAAATGAAATGGAAGTGCTTTTAAGGTGGGAGCAGAGGGATGGGAAACCTGCACAGAAACCTGCCGGAGGGACCCCAGGAACCACTGGCTAGTGAGACACAGGCAGGAACTGGCCATTCCCTGACATCGATACAAACATCTCCTTGCCCTGCTTTATTTTTTAACACAGAAACAGCAAAGTGGACAGTGGAATGAAAAGCCACCTTGTGTATTTAGCCAAGCACTGCCACCTCATTTTCCAGCCTCCTCTTCCTCCCCCCCGGGCCAAGTAGGCCATGAATAGTAAACACCAGATCACTTCTCATGTGAAGCCCACTTAAAACTTGGTAGGGAGCTTCCCTAGTGTTTGTAAAAGACACCTATAGAAATAAATCCAAATTAATATTTGCAAGAAAAGACTAGAATACAGACTCGGTGAACTCATCTCACTGATTTCCCATACTTTAAAACTAAAAAAAGGGTGCAAAACTTTCCATTTCGCCCCAAGAGTGGACTTTTGCAGCCTTGCCAGGGTGGAGTGCACTTGTGATTGTTATCTGAGCGTGAGTCAGTGCCTTTCTTGAGCAATTCGGCCCTCAACTCTGCATTTCCAGGGCTTTTAATGTTTGGTTTAAAAATAAAAGCAAAATAAAATAAACTCTTCCAACCCTGATATTTTTGTACAATTCTATTTACTCCAGCTGAATCTTAACTTCATCATAGTGCGGTTCTTCCTGTGGGACTTAACTAATGTTTGCAAAGCACTTGATTTATGATGAACTGTTGAAAATCCTGTTTAGGGCTGCTATACAGCTGAGGGTCTGCTGTGCTTTACTTATTACTGCTGTTATCACACCATTTCTTACCTCAAAGACCCTTTGACAGTTCTCCTTTCCCTATGCCCTTAGTCTTGCTGCCCAACTTTACCCAGCACACTGTAGTACCTGTCTGGCAGTCACAACCATAACAGGAAGACAAGCAGAGAATAAGTTTACTTTCCTGCATTGGGTGCTGTTGTTTTGGTGACATCCTTTTCATTACACATCTGTAGTGTTTATTTCCCCTCTAAGGGTGCAGTGCTTTCTGATTAATTCCAAATGTTTCCTAGTTTCCTCCAGTTCCTGTTACTCCCATCTCCTCAGGCTTTGATACATACTGTTTCCCTTCTCCTGTGGCCCTTTCTGCTGCAATGTCCCCCCCCCAGAATACTGTGGGACAACGCTAGAGAGACCTCATCCATCAGAAGCATCTCCTCAGGATGTGTGAAGAAGGTTTGTGTTTAGTTGATTTAGAAAGCCTCCAGCCAGCAGAAGTCTTGGCTTGGCTTCCAAGTGGTGGATGGAAGGAAGATGGGGAGTGGAGAGGAAGTACATGCCATTTCCAAAAAATCCTAAGCAAAATCCCACGCCTCAGAAAGTCGAGCATGTTTCAGCATGGAGGGGAGTGGTGACTACAGGTTTTGGCAAGGATTTTGAGACACAAAACAGGTTAATGTGAGAGGCGAGTTGAAAGAGGCATCTGCCACCTGAAAACCTCCTTACTAAGTGTTGTTCTTCCCTCCTGTGGCAGGTGATGGACAGCTCGATGCCCCTGATTGGGGAGCATGTGGAAGAGGACAGACAACTTATAGCTGATCTGGTTGTTTCCAAAATGACTCAGCTTGTCACCACTGCTGGATCTACACCGTCACCACTGAGGCCTTGGGTATGACTGAAGAGAGACCTTATGGCCAAGTTGGTTTCCTGAACTTTTTATTCTCTCTTAGCTTCCCTCAGGTATCAGGCAGTCAGACAGCTCAGTGATCAAACAGTCCCATATGAGAGTGTACTGGATAGACTGACTCCTGCTCTTCCAAAGAAGTCTCTCATAGACTCTGAAGTCTAAGAAACACCTCTTTCTCCCTTCCTCTCCTTCCACGTAATTGTGACATCACCCCAGCAGTGTGGTCCGTATACCTAGATATTCTGGCTTGCTGAATTCATAGATTCATACCAAAGACAGCCATTTTTAGAAGTTCTTGTAACACCCAACTTCATCTCCATCTAACACCATGCCTCAGGATAGGTTTCGTTCCAGTTTTTGCATCCCTAATGAAAATCTGTGCTTCCCAGAACAGAAGTGAGAGTATCCACCAAGAATTATTCCATTCCTTAATGCAGCCCTTCTTCTTTGGAGATTTCCTTCACCCTCTTCATCAGAAGGAGGCTTGACTAATGCTAAATTCATGTAAGAACCTGTAATTTTTGCATTTAAACTGCCCCCTTACTGCTTCTCGTGTATATTTATTTTGAGTATCAAATGCACTCAACCTTAGTACATTTTCCAGTGGCAGTTCTGTATAAATGAAACACACCAGAACATAATCTGTGTCTCTGGGTGTATATGCTGCACCTCTTTCAGTATCTAGCAGGGAGCCAAGAACAAAGGTTTGAGGGCAACAAATCTGTACAAAAGAAAGGAAAGGAGAGTAAACAGGCTGAGGGATAATGTTGACTGGAATGAACTGAACAGTTTCCATTTCCACTTGAGACCAAAAAATGGGAAAAAGCACTTTATAGCTTTCTGCCTTTGTCATATGACACTCCTGCTAAACCAGATGCCCAGCATGAAGGGTGTTCATGGTAAACTCCAAGTTTTAGCTTGAGTGAGCAGGTAAACATTTAGTAGACACTAAAAATGCTTTGAGGCAGGGAAAGTGTTACAGAGGGGATAGGATTTACTGGGCAAAGTGGAATCAACAACTGCCATCTGAAATAGCCAAGATAGAGAGTGTATAAACTAAGAGCAAAGGAGAAGCCAACAGAAACTGAGAACATGGATGATGCATCTGCTTTCTATGTCTGTATATACTGGTACAGGGTTGGATTGGATTACAACAGACCTAAAATATGACTGAAATAAGAACAAAACAAATGGTCTTAGAGGGATAGCATGTCAAATAGAGTTAAATAAGAGAAGGGTCTTTGTCAGGAATATGACCTACAAATATCTGTATACAAACCCAAGAAAATTAAAACCACAAACATTTAACTACAGTATTTTGCTATAGACAAAGATCTTGGTACAACAAACATTGCAGTGACTGCACACACTACAAAAATTAGTGCAATGCTATAACACAAAGTTACAAATGTGCAGAGAAGTAATTACATGTGAGGCTGGTGAGATGTGGAACTAGAGCTACAGGTGAAGACTCACAGAACCAAGAAAAAAGACAATTCTGAATACAAGGACAACAGTACTGAACGCATAGAAATATGAACTCTTGGATATCTGGTGGGTATGTGTAAAATATTAATACATATTATTGGAGCTGTCTGTACTAGTCTCTACATCAAGAAAAGCTGAGAAATTATGAACCTGAGTACATGGCACTGGTAGAGATGGAAAAAGCAACAAGTCATAATAATGTGAGACTACAGCTATCAAGCAGCAAGTCAAATCACACAACAGAAATTCAAAGAGAGTTCTCCATCTCTGTAGGTGTCTGCTTCCTGTAACTGCAAAATCCAAGCATAACAGGAAACAAAACCTGACCTAGCCTTAAGAAACACCCAGGTACAAATTCAGAAAGTGAATATGTACCATTAGGTTTGATGTCCAAGGGGCAGATATCAAAAAGTAACAGTATGATGCAAGCAGATAGAAAATTAATCAACTCCCTAGCATTAGAAGTAAAACTGTATGGATGTTATTTGAGAGACCGTTGTTTCCCAGAATGCATATATGCATTTCTGATCTTCTCCTGAACCAGGAATGCAAGAAATAAACTTCTAGAGTTAAGTGGCAAACATTCAAGACAAACAGGAAAAAGTATCTTCCAAATTTGGAAATCTGCTATTTAAGAAGACCTTTAAGCACCATCATGCAAGTAATAAAAGGAAATGTGAAAAGGATAGAAACCGATTTTGAAGAGCAGGTAGACAAAAGAATGAAGCAGATTCTTTGAGTTCTTCTGAAGATGGAACCCTATCAAAGAATTGGTGGGCTTCATGGATCATCCAAAGTTAAGGGGGAAGACAAAAGAGACAGTGTTGAGACTCTACTAAATTTAATTGCTGAAACTGGGGAAGTTATTAAATTAGATCAGGCTTTCCTGATAAGAAAGACAGGGGAGAGAACAAAAACAGTGATTGAATCAGCGATGACTTGTATTTTTAAATATATTAAGCCCCCCAACCCAGATGGCTACGTCCAGTGAACTGAATTTAGGAAGTGACTAAGCTGCCAAGAAAAAAACCATACAATTTCATTAGAAGCAGTTATTGCTCCAGAGGATTGGTGTACAGTAAATACAAAATATGTGTTCAAAAAGTTGAAAGAGTAATGTAGGAAAATGTAGACAAGTCATGGACCTTATGAATTACCTCAGACAATAATTTCAAGAACAATACAGAAGACTAATAAACTGACAGAACCACAGCTTAAGAGCATTTACCACTTATATATAATAATATATTATATATATTTATATTATAAATAATATATATAATATATATTATTATAAGAAAAATGTCCCATTAATTTCCTTTTGATTCTTTTACCCTTTTCTATGAGAATTTTTCATAAAGTGGTAGATAACAGGCAATCAGTCAAAATGCATCTAGGCTGTCAGAAAGCTTTAGGCAAGGTAATATACAAGACCTATTAAAGCAAGCAGGGAGAGACTAAAAGGCAAAGTTTAATTTGAGAGCAGAAGCTGGCCTGAGGTAAAGATATTGACGTGAGAGATTTTAATTCTTGCAAACAGTTATCAGAGTTGGTACTTAAAAGTATCACCTTTTAATATATTTTAACTTAGAAGACTAAGCCGGGTCATGTTGATATTTGGGTGGAGACCAGGACAGGATGTTAATAACAAACATGTTTTCATGCCTACAAGGTGAAACCTGGTTTCATGATTACAGCTGCAGTCCTCCCCTTGCCTCTCTGCCCCCCCCCCCCCCCCCCATCCTTTCCCCTCACTGTTTCCCTTCAAAAGGCAGAAGATCTTGGGCTGGCCCTCACCCCTTCATCTCTGAGAAGCCTTGGTTGGCTGTAGACAAAAACAGCAGAGGTGAATATGAGCTCCGATCCCCTCTCTTTGTCTGGTCTAATCAGGATATCTCACAGCATTAGGACAGTAAATTTCCACCAACACCAAGGCAAGGTTTATTTTCCCAAGCTATGTAGAACTAGAAGCCACGAATGGAAAATTCCCAGGTTTTCCTCCTTGTCCATTTGCAAGTTCCAGATAAAAAAGCATAAAAGATGGCCTGGCAACCTTATCCCATTCATGTTAGTTAAAACTCATTTCAATGCTTACAACTATGAAACATTTCTTCCCATTTCCAGAATCATTTAGCTCATTCTCCTGACCTTCCAGGAGCTTTGAAGACCCTTTTATCATTGTGCTCTCCATGTAAATAACCTTGCACATACCAGCCTATCTGTCTCCAGCTTCCCCTGCTCTCATAAGCAACTTTGTGCAATAGGCTTACTCAGACTTTTGTTAACTTCAGACCCGCTTTTTGTGCAACAGTTCTGTGTTGCTTAATCTGTTTACTAAAATATCTGTCAAAAAGAGTAAGAGTGAGAGAGAAGAAAGTATAGATGGCATCTACTTATTTGCATTAGTCAGGACCAGGGAGGCCTGTGAAGAGCATCTGACAGAGCGATATATACGTTCAGTCACCACAGCAAATAAAACTCCATATGGAAGATTGAAAGGTAAGGTAAGCTGGGGGTAGAGAGAGGGAGGACATAAATGATCTGTGGACCTTGCAAGTGGCACTAGCCCTTCCCCTTGAGAAAGACTTTGTCACATATAAGCTAATGAAAACCATTGCTCAGCCTATGGTTGTGTTGACAAGGGAAAAGCAGGAAATTAGGATGCAGGAGAAATGAGCCAGTGATGTTTACAGAGAACCCCGATACTGCTTCATCTGAAATAACATAACCAGACCTGCCTCTGGCATCTGCAGAAAGAAATCACAAAGCTGGGAAAGAGAAGTGGGTGATGAAAACAATTAGGGACCTGGAAACATTCCCATGGAAGGACTGAAGGGATTCAGTGTCTTGGCTTTAGAAAGGAGGTGAATGAGAGAGAAGGCAGCAAAGGTTTGCAAAATAATGAATGGCTTAGGAAGGGCAGATTGTGAGAAGTATTCTCAAAACTCAGAACAAAGCAATGGAGTTAAGAAAGGGGGAAGGCAGCGAGGCTGATTGCTGAGCAAGACTCAAAGGGTCTGGCTGTAAATATCAAAACAAGGTATCTGGAATGTTTGCAGAGATTTTGTGGAGCAGATAATAAGCTTCATGTTTCACAGCTGAAGCTGGCCCCTGCTTATTAGCAATCAAGAGGAGACCCCTTAGGGTAAAGAGATGATTACTCCATAGATGTTTCCACGGTTCATCCCACCTTCCTTTGGAACATCTGGTGCTGGCAACTGTCCAGAGTGGGAGAAGGGACTAGGAGACCCCCTCAGGCCTGATACATTGGGTAATTCCCAGTTGCCTAAAAAACATTCTAAACTGTAACTTCATTGTTATTCCCCATGAGCAAACAACTTCTGTGCTCTTTATTACTCAGCTCTCCATTTCAGTCCCACAAGATTTTACCAGCCAGATGCTGCATGTGTGTGTGTGTATTTAAGGAACACTTCATGACTCTGCAGTTCCTGTGTTACTTCAGGGCTTCTCTCTGGGGACTCTGTATTAACTGGAATGGCTTCTTTCCCCCTCTAGCCTCCACAAGTTCAGCCTGCACCAATGAAACCTCAGACTGGACCTCAGCTTGGACAACTGTCCCAACCACGGCCCCCTCCTCAAGGTACCGTTCTTTGGGTCCCATGACAGTGCAGACTGTGAGACCAGTTCGCCCTCATAAATAGAAGCTATCAGGATAAAGGTTTCACTCACTATTCCAATTCACCGACAAGCAGGCAGCAAATTCAGTGTGCTCTTAAAGCAGCTGCTGTCATATTCCACAGCAGCTCAGAAAGTCGATGAAAATTTGATAAGGATCCAGTTGATACTGCTGGTAGGACTTGGCTCAGCCAAACGAGGCCACTTGAACTGGCACTGGAGCCGGATTCTGGGCACAGAGTTTATTTGTGTTTGCACAAAGCTGGAGGAGCTGCAAGTGTTAAGAAGGGATGGGAACATGCTAGTGCTGCCAGGCCTGGGACAGGCACCAGTGTGGTGATGCCTAGGTATTCCCCTGTCAGCAAGAGCACACCCCTAGCTCCTCCTGACAGAAGGAGCTGGTTTGACTCATGTTTCTCGGTCACAACAAGAGGTGTGATTTACTGTCTTGAGTTATGCTGAGGTAATGAAGCACAGGGCTGCCCCATGGGTACCCAGACCACACCAACCAGTCACTTCACATAACCAATTAGCCCTTCCTTTTTTGTTACCATTATACCTTCCTTTCTTCACTCCAATCTCCTACCAAATTAACACCCGCCTCAAATAATCTTTTCCTCATTGGTCACAGTTTTGCTGTATCCAAAATTCAGTATTTCAGACACCAAATGCACCGATGTAATCCTGGCATTGCCTAGTGTTACTTGTAGGAATCATTGGCCTTGCAGTCTGTCTCCAATACTCCCCTTCAATTCCCTGTGAAGTGTTTCTCTCACATGAGTTCCCCTTGACCACCCGTGAAATCCAGCCAACCCTCACAATGCTCTCTGTAACTTCTGTCAGTTTCTCACATTGTTACCTGTCATATCCAGCAATTCCTCATGTCACATCCAGTTGTTTTCCACATCCTCTTCAGCTTTGAGAGTCTGTTATCAATACGGCTGAAGCCACCTGATGATAATACTGGAACAGATGTATGGATAGCAATAGGGTGTGCAGTCTCACATCAAACTGCAGGGCCCGTGAAGGGACTGCTGACACAAACCAGCACATACAGCTTTCATTTCCTGCACAGAGTTGGTTCTGCAGTGATTCTTCTTTCCCAATGCAGGAAGCACTTGCCAAAGCTAAGAAATATTAGTTACATGGAAGAGTACAGTACATTGAGTGCACACTGAGTGAGTACAGGACACCTGGGGAGAATGGCAAAGCTTCTTTAGCACTGAAGGAGGCAGAGGAATGGACAACTCTAGAGACAAAGGCATGACATCAATTTTAGGCCTGTAACAGAGGTTTTCCCTTCTGCATGAAGCTACTCTGAAGAGTTTCCCCCTTATCAAAACCCATTTTTGCATACAGATGCTCCTTGTTTGTTGCCCACCATGTTCAATTCCTCCTGTCTACACATCCCTTCCAGGTGGCCCCCGCCAGCCTCAGGGATCTCAGCCTCCACGGACAAACGCACCTCCACAGCAGCGGCTCTCCCCTCAAGGACAGCAGCCCCAGAGCCCCCAGTCCACTTCCCCTCAGCAGCAAAGGTCACCTGGATCTCCACAGCAAGTCCGATCAGCAACTGGGTCCTCTCCAGTCCAGGCTCCCAAGGCAGGCGTGGTCCCTCCGCAGCAGCCTAGACCTCCTGCTCAAGGCCGTGCTCCTAGCCAGCCAAGCCCCACTGAAACATCCAAGCAGCAACCCACCCCTCACCCACATCTGAAGTAGGTGCTCTGTTAAACTGGTAATATCTGTAGATATTAGAATAAGGCTGTCAAAAAGTACCCTGAGCTGGTACAAGGATGCTGGAGAGCAACTCTTCATCAGGGACTGTAGCGATAAGGGGTGATGGGTTTAAGCTTAAACAGAGGGAGGTCTTTACAAGGAAGAAGCTCTTTACTGTGAGGGTGGTGAGGCACTGGAATGGGTTGCCCAAAGAAGTTGCTCCATCCCTGGCAGTGTTTAAGGCCAGGCTGGACAGAAACTTGGGCAACCTGGTCTAGTGGAAGGTGCCCCTGCCCATGGCAGGCGGTTGGAACTGGATTGATCTTAAGGTCCTTTCCAACCCTTAGGATAGTTATTCTATAATTCTATGGTACAAAGAACTCCAGATGGTGACTATATGTTTAGGAACTTTTCTGGAGCCAAGCATACCACTGAATTACTGTGGATCTTTGGCAGCAGACTTTGATGCCACCTTTCATGGAACGTATCTGGCTGGCACCACGGCAGGAAAGATGGGCAAAAAAATGTTTGGTGTTGACAAAAATCTGACAAGTAGATATGAGCAAATTGGTATGATCAGGCCAGAACAAAATATAGGCTAGGAATCAGAAGGCAGTTTCTAGGCAGCAGAAGAGTGATGTTCTGGAACAGGCTTTCAGTGATGATGTCTTTAGCAAGATAAACCAAGAGCAGTGCACTTAAGGATGAAAATGTTGGTGCTAAGGATAAAATCGCCACACTACACATATCCCAGGTACCTTAATTTAGGGTCTGGTCTTATGCTGAATGCCTACTACTGACCAGGAGAAGCCACTCAGTGACAAAGCATGGTAATAGGGAAAATTGGGAGATTTACTTCAAAAGCACAGGCCTGATCTGAATTTAAACACTAGCATATAAACACCCAGAAGGAGCAGCGTGGCCAACCAAAAGATGTGCATAACTTAGCTGACAGAACAGACATGCCGGGGGAGGCAGGCAACAGGACATATTGCAGGTGATATGCCTAACAACTTGTCAAACCTCTCACGTTTTCACATCTTAAAGGACAGGATCATCAATCGTACAGCTGATAAAGACACAGGTTACCCTCAGTATGAATCCATTTTTCTGTATTAGCAGCAAAATTACTTAAGTGATCCTCACAACAGTTGCACAGTGGTAACTGAATACTTTTAGTCAGGTGTTTTCATGAACACTAGTGTGGACTCTGATATTGGAGCTGCTTGCCCATGTCCCATCCTCTTCCACACACACACCCCCACCGGCTCCCCCATTCCTGGATGTCTTCGCATATAGGGATTCTCCTTGCTAACCTTTCCTTTCATCCTTGAATTTGTGTGATAGAACACAAAGCATCAGTAACCAGCTTTGAACTACCACCTTCTCTTGAGTCAGAACTCCGTTTTCCATTTCAGCAAATCGCAGTCCCTGACAAACACCTTCAGCATACCTGAATCATCTCAGCGGGGAAACGCCAATGAAGATGAAGCAAAAGCCGAGACCATCCGAAACCTGAGGAAATCATTTGCTAGCCTGTTTTCTGATTAACAGCCCTGCAGCTGATCCGTGCTTCTGCCCGCCCTCACTCTTCATATCAGCGTACCTGATGTCACCCTGCAATACTCTCAGTGGTACCCAGCGACTTACAACTAACATCTGGGTAAATGGAATTTGGAAAACTGTATTTGTTTTAATACAAAGAAAATATTCCAATAATAATGGTCTGAAAAGTGACTGTATAAAAGTGGCACTACTTCATTGGGGGTTTTGTGCATAATCAGAATCACATCTGTTCAAACAACCGAGTCCTAAAGCAAATTTTATTCTTGCTAACCCCTCTGGCATCACCACAGTTATAACAGCGCAAAGTAGATTTTACTTTGATTTGTAGATAGTCAGTACAATTTGGTAACTCCCAATAACTGAAAAAATATAGGTCTGCTTCAGAAACAGATGTGCAAAGATGGAGTCAAGAATAAGTATTCATTGACTGATAAAGTAAGCATGATTGAGCATGGAGACAGTGACCTGTGAAACTTCATGATACCAATTTTATAAAGAGTCACTTTTCAGAGCAAAACAACATTTCAAGTTAAATACAGAACCAGGCATCATTAAGCACCAAAGATCACATGAGCAGGTCATCCAGATGGACTGCTGGTTTGTTCCAGATCATTCTGCTCATAACGGATAAAACATCTCTGTTTCATGCCTTGCATTCATGTCCTCTGCATGTGATGGCTGAGTTCTGAGATAAAAATGTCATGTTTTAACCCTGTAGCCCTAGCTCAAAATAACCTGAGAAATGGGCCTTCGACACAAAAAAAAACAATTTCTTCCCCTGCCCCTGGAAACACCGGAATTCACATTTACAGTTCACACAATTTCTAGACAAAACCCAGCTAAACTCCAAGCACTTTGGTGACTTGGTCACATCTGGCTAAGTATGTCTCCCAGGAACATGCTTAATTAATAGCAGAGCTGATGAAGTGCACATACTTGTGTGCTGAGTGTTCCATAATACCAAATGCACAGAGAGACGGAGTGAAATCCTGTCTCCCTCCCTGAACTCCCACTGACTGACTGGGGGGATTGCAAAAATGCGTGCAAGGTGACAAACCTGCAATAGAACAGGCAAACTATCCTTTCCAAATAAGATAATCTGGGGTTCATCCAAAGGCACCAAGCCATGGGAGGGCATGTTGGGATTGTCCCAAGCAGGTAATGAACAGTATTAGTCCTCCCTGACCACCTCCAAGACTTATTCTTCCAGAGACAGAGATGGTTCTTTTTGGTGTGCTTTTATAAGAATGAAGCTGTGTATGAGCATATAGAATCACAGAATCAACTAGGTTGGAAAAGACCTTAAAAGATCATAAAGCCCAATCTTTACCCCAGGACTACGAAGTACACTAGAACCAGGCAAAAAACCCAGGAAGGACACAAGCATGATTGAAAAAAACCCACCCTAGGTAAAACAATCTCAGCTGGCAATTTCTAATAGCTGAGAACCCACCCCTTGCATAGTGCTCTATTACAAGACACCTAATGCAGGCAGAGTCCCCATCCCACTTCCTCAAATTTTCTTCAAGTTTTGTCAAGTATTTAGTCACAAACCACACATATAGCTTCACGGCCAGACTTTAGGCTTTGTGCTTCCCTTAGCAACTTCACTTTGATGACACTTCAGAATGCTCCAGGAGGCAGGGATGTCAGTAAGTTAAAAACATTTGAGCCAGTGGCACAGATCTTTGCTGTCACTGAAACAGGGAGATCCCCAAAGCAACAAGAGCAACAGCAGCACTTGCCATCTTGGAGGGAATAAAGCCAAATAAGCAATTCCTTCATGCATAGCACCTGTAACTAACATCTAAATCCAATGCAGTCATCTGGAACTTGTATGACCTACCCCTGAGCAGTCCTTCACACATATAATGGCTTTTGTGACCTGTGACCACTTTCAGGCTAGTAACAGCATAGCTTTTCCAGGTTGGAAGGCTCCCCAGAGACTCATCTGGATCAATGATTTATACCTCAAGTTCAGTATTACAGAACCACCCTATTCCCTGATTGTTTCATTTTCCCCCCAGTTCTGTGTTGTCTTTCCAGGTTTGCTAAGCATCTTACAGTATAGCATCATAAATACATGTCACTGAGGAAAAAAAAACAGACCCTGCTGTTTTGCAGTCTCCAGGAGCAATAAAAGAGTGACAAATGGCCTTGAGCAGGCACTGTCCCACTGGTAAAAACAATAGATTAACAGGCAACACTATATGCAGAGGAGGTAATACAAGCCTGATGGGAGAGGATTTCCTTCTGTAACACTTCCCTCAGCATGATTTATGCCTTTTGCCACTAAACAGTCACCAGATATAAAGACAGAAATAAAAGTTTACTGCCAGAATACTACTCAACTGCTCTATCCCCTGGATCTTTTTATGTCTCTCTCACCAACACAACCTAGACAAAAAAATAAGTAACCAGTGACTAGTATGGCACAGCCCCATAAATTGACCCTAGTTCATCACCAAAACCACAACAGTTGGATCATTTGCTGATGCTGCATTTCAACACACCAGCAGTGTCCTCCAACAGACCACAGTTACAGGATAGCACTGTTGACTTCATACCCAGCAGTGGCTCAAATCTCTTCATTTGCTTTCAGCTTCCAGCTGTCATCTTTCTAGGAAGAAGCAAACAGAATGGCATCCCCCCTCCTCCTAGCTCCACCTTGCAAAAAACAGTGAGAGCAACAGGCACTTTCAGCTTAGGTTGGTTACTCCTATAGATCCTGAAAAGCAACTTCAGTTCTAGCCTCAGAAAGTGCTCTAATGGAAGCATTGAGTCAATTTTCCAAGTCAAAATGCTGAAATTCTATACCGTGTTCTGCAAGTGTTCCAACAGTACACTTCAATCTACAACTAGATTTTGCGGCTAGCAGGAGATTCACAAATGCATCATCACGTATTTGTGTTATACCCTTTAAGGCAGCGTTCCCATTCTAAAACCCCTACAGTCTAACAAAGCAAGAGAGGGAGGAATAAAAAGGGTATCTTTTATATGAATGGGGAACTAAAGTCTACCCAAGAGGTATTTCAGGCACTTAAATAGAACAGCTGGAGTTAGAGGGCAATAAGAAGGCAACAGGAAAGTCAATGAATAGAAGTTGCATTTAAATAGCAGGGCCGTCAATGCCCCAGAACATGCCTTGGGATCTCACACAGCTGGAAAAATGGAGCATCTGGTCAGAGCTTCCCTTTTGTCCTGCATGCCTCAATTTTCTCCACCTGGGAGCCAGGAAACAATAATAATTTGTTTGGATCCAGCCCAAGGAGCTGGATCCACCTGAAAATCAGTTTCTGTTTTGCTGTTTAGATACAGCCTGAGACGCATCTTAACTTTCTTGTAATATCTAGGTGTGGTATTTCAAGAGGAATGTCACAGATTCCCATGAGACTACAAGTCTTGTATAAAGCCAAGGTTCAGAAGAACAGCAGTCCTGCTCATAACTGCAATGCTGTTTCCCCCTTTCACTATCGACAGGCAGGTATGCAAGACCTTACACCCCACGTTAAGAACACGTTATACCATCTAGTTGGTTTAAGTTTCTTGAATAAGCTAAAACAATAAATAGAAAAACCAAGGACTATAGTTCCTTATTTCCAAGCGTATCCACACGTATCCAACACTGTTAAGCAACTTTAACAGTGCTGGAGACAGGTGAACAGTACAGGTAAGAAACACTCACCTTCAGGCATGTCACTTTTTGTGATGTCTCTTCTCAAACAGTAATGACACACATACCTGACTTCAGAGCTGTTGAGCTAGTTTTCAAGTATTTCCTCTATTTTGTCATCTAATTTAACACTGTTGGTCCCAAGATACTCACTTGATATATTTCAAATCCTGTTTCGGGAATGAAGGGGACACCTCTTTAGGGAACTTGACAGTTCAGACTAAGTCACATCCCTTTACCTTTCGCTCACAATAACCTTACTATAATGTGAAGCCACAATGAAGAACAGGAAGGAATATCTTCAGGTCACTTAGTGGTGTATCTGTAAAAAGGCTGAGTACACTTCTTCAAAAAACTAACATTCAGATGACAAAATCCAGGGTAAACAGAACCTGTGGCATCAGCCTGACAGAAGTATAACGATGCTGTTTTCATGGCAGGGAGGACTCAACTATAGAGCAGCATGGGGCACACTCATTGGAACAAGGCAATTCAACCACTGCAGGAAGATGTTAAAAATTGAAGCTAATCTTGGTATTGAAGGGAAACCGGTGTCCCCAGATTCTTAGGTGCTTAATTATGGCAGGATTTGCACATGCCATTGCTGTGAAATAGTAAAGGGAAGAAAGAAGCAATACAACTTTTGACAGCAAAATAAGGTATTATATTTTACTTCCACTGGAGTTAATGGCAAAACTTCCTGGCCCTACCGAAGTCAGCTGATTTTATACAAAACAAGATGATGAATCACTAAAATATCACCTGAAAAAGCACATAAGTATTACCCATTAAATAGCTTGTATTTAAGAGGAAGTGTCATTCCATTTTCACTAGTGGAATTCCAAAAATATTTTAGAAAACAGTATCAGCTGTCACAACAGTCATCAGTACAATTTACATTTACAGAAACACTGAGGTCAATCCATCTTAAAAAAAATATGTAAGAAATAAGAAGTTCTAGCAAAGTTTAGTCATTCCAGTCTTCCTTTAATTCAGCTCCAACATCAGCCTGCAGGTCTGATCAGACAACTTTAACAGTGGTCTTGTCATTTGCTCGTTAGTTAATAAGACAACACTTGAAAGGTGCTCATAAATTCCTACAACACATTTCCTCTTGGCAAGACATATTTTGATACTCAAGCAAGGGAATTAAATGGCATTTACTGCAGTAAAGTCAGAATTGATTCCACTTCTCCTGCTGGGTTCCCATTTCCACTGTAACCAGGTCAACCTATTCAATTCCTTAAGTTATGCAGGAGAAAAGATAGATTTTTGCACCAGTTTCAGTTCACACACATTAAGTGCAGCCATGTATTACAGCTCCTTATTTGTAAGGTCAAGGAAGAAGACTAAAGTTTTGCTGCTGGTTCTTTGTAAAATTGCTCTGCTTCTGTTCAGACTTCTGAGTTGCACTGTAGCATGACTTTACTCAGTTGTTCGTAAAACAAATTGATTTGTGTTCTGTTACTTCCATTGTAAAGAAAACCCCTTCCCTGTACTCTTTGTGTATTAAGTAACAATACAAAAATGCTTTTTACCTAATAAAACATTAAAGAAAAAAGGAAACATCTTTGAAAATTTCCACAAACCCGTATCTACCATAACAGTGGCAGTATCCTGTTCTACATGGAACTCTGTACATTTCTTTGTTAATAAAGATTATTAGCCAGGCTGACTTTAAAACAACATCATTTTTCCTGGCAATTTAATAAAATTCTTCAAATAAGACAGACAAGTATAGGGTTTGTATTTAAAGTGCTCTTTATCTGATGCAGCAAATTACTTGGCCGGTATCCTTCTGGTCTCTAAGTAGCACTTCACAGACAATTATTAAGGGCAAAGGCAGGGGAGAGCAAAACAAACTGTCCTACATTGTAGCTCTGTGAAACAGAGCTTAGTGCCAGGTGGTACAATACTACCAGAGCATAAAACAAACCCAGCCTTAGTGGTTGAAACATTACCATGCACACATGTTCTTGCTACAATCAGAAAAGAAGGCGGAAGTTAGTGCCTGCGATTTGCAATCTCCTGCAGTTAAAAAGCAACCTAAGGGACTAGAAAACTCACTGAAGGAAAATGCAGCAATCAAATGAATGCACGGCGAATGTCCATGGGGCGGCCTCGGCTGGGTCTAGGTGGAAACCTGTCACTGGGACCAGCTCGTCCTGGAAGTGTGTGGTTTGCTCCTGGCAAAGACCCAATTGGGTCAAAATGTGGTCTGAATGGAGGAAACTGGGCTGGTGCTTCTCCTGGGCCAGGAATGAGTGAGTTAATTGGGTCTCCAACATATGGAAGTGTTTGTCTTTCATCATATTCTCCACCAATGATCATTGGGGGATAGATTGGGTTTGATGGGAATGGGTTGGGAGGAAAGGGATTAGGATAGAATGGGTTGGGATGAAAGGGGATTGGATGTGGTGTAGGGGGCAGAAACATCATGTGCCTCCATCTGAGGGCCTCCTTCTTCTGTTTCAACTTTTTCTTGTATAGCTGCAGACAGAAAACAAAGGCATCTTAAAGCTCTGTAACTGCTTTGCATTCCAGCTTCAGCAACAGCATTCAGTTCTGCAGCAGAAAAGCACTCCTCACCAGTCTGAAAACCCAGAACAGCAACTCCCCCACCTGACAAAGGCCAAACACAGCATCTCTGGAAGACCTGTAACTCACAATTTGGACATGCATCATCTAACTTGATGCTGTGTTCTACTCTGAACAAACTCAACATGTGTACACAGAGCAACACAGTTTAAACTAAAAATTAACTCAAAGTTCTGCCTCCCAAAGCCTTTGCTTTATTCTCAAATTAGCCCATGGACACTAATCTCCAAGAGATTATATAAAAAAAGGCACTTACTTCTTTCCAGTCTGTGTCACGAGGCCTTGCAATAGGATCTACAACGAGAAGTGAAAAATTAAGAAGAGCAATCTATTTTGGTTTTAAGCAGCATTCATGCTACAGATATCCACAGTCTTTTCAGAATTCAAAGAACCAAGAGATTAAAAAATTTTTGGTCAATACATTTCTCATAAAAAGTATCTTAAAAAATACAAAAGCTCCAGGACCATTCAATAGGTAGCCTACTTGCACGCCTATTCTACATAAAGCATCACCTCCAGAAGTTACTAAGCAGAGAAATCCCACAAACACTGTCCCATCTTTGATTTCTATCACCTTATTTCCTCAATCTACTGTGAGAAATTATAGCAGAAATATCTCTTTACTTCCTAGTATCTGCAACAGCTGGTACACTAAGGTAGCAGGGGATACAGTTGAAAACAAGGTAAGTCTGCACCACACAACAGGAAGAACTATGTGGTTCATCAGTAATGGCTCAGCAGATTGTCAACAGTTTTCCCAGCAGAAAACTGTGAATCCACATGAATTACACCTGATCATCTGTATGGTTAGCACCACAAATTACTGTGTTTAGTCATAGTGTTTAATAATAATAAGTGGTTGCCTGAGGAGCATCTTATCAAAATCTGTCACACATAACCCCTCTGCTCATGTGAGAATGTAAGTACAAAAACACGTGTCTCAGCATTACCTCGGAAATCTCGCAGATACATGAACCTCCATAGAAGCTGGTCGTTTGTAGCTGTGTAAAGATTATGGCAAACAGCTGAGAGAGAGATAAGTGAACGGACATCCAGAAGTCTGAAAATCCGAAGCTTGAGCTCAAGAGGAAGGACCACTAACCCAAACACATCTGGCAAGTTCAGAGCTACAAAGTACAGAAAACAGAAGAATTACATAAGCAGTGCAGAGTTTAT